TGTAAGAGAATAGAACAGGGATACAATACCTAGGTCATCACTCACATTTGTGTTCAGGTATTAGTCACCCAATAAGAGGACACTTATTATAAGGAAATAAATCATTGGAATGCGAAACACATGTCCACTGATTGTGTAATCGGCACACTGGATGTGAATTTGAGTGGATGGAGTGGAGTTGTTTCTGTAAAGTCATTTGCTCAACCTCCACGCAATAACGGTCAATATCTGTTTTGGCGAAGAAGATACAACGGATTATGCAGATCTCTAGATCAAAGGTATGTTTGTAAACATTTTCTGATAAATATAGAAAGGGATTTGTCGCTTCTGTTTTTCAAATGAGCAACATCACCCATATTTATGTTTGTCAGTGATAAACTTTGGCACCGACCCAATTACTTGTTGTTACTTAAGGCTTGAAATTGTCAAAAATAATGTCATTTTAGTCATATTGATAAATCAAGTGTGTGTTAGGCCTTTTTTGTGTACAAAAACAATGTATTTCTTCCCATAGCTGTTAAGTGAAAGCCTGCAACATCGATAATAAAATGTACTGGTGAGGTAGCCGGATGATCACATTGAAGAATTTGGTATGATGAAAATATTGTATGAAATTATGTTTTAGCATCACACTCTTCAAAAAAATAAATGCACAGGTAGTACGCAGTTCATTGAACCTGACTACACATAAAATCCGGTATATAAATTGGATATATGTTATTGGAAAATGTTGGTGGCTTGATATTCGACAAACTGTGCGTTAAGACGTTAAACGCCATTGTTTTCACACTTGTTAAAAAATGTCATGGAGGAAAACAGTAAAGCAAAATGCACGTGCAAGTTAGGGCCTTCGTAACTCGTGGTAGTGGCTGTAAAAAAGGAAGTATAAGGTAATAATTTGTCATTCAATTGTCAACAAGTTCGAAAATGCCGATAGTCAGCGCTGCCGATCGGAACATCGCCAAAGAGGGGAATCGCAGTCTTCTGTTGCACGCCACTTCAACGTCCACCACAGCACCATTTGCCTTTGTGACCGGTACACACAGTTAAATTCCACTGCAGACCGTACTGCAGAGTTACCACAGGATCGCTACATTCGACTGTTCCACCTACGTCATCGCAATGCCACAGCTATGGAGACTGCAGGGCGCATCCATGGGTTGAGGAGGATATCGAAGTAGACTGTCAGGAACCTTCTTCGCGAGACTGGAATCCGACCCAGAAGACCAGTTATGTTTTGCAACAGATACATCGACAACGACGCTTGCGTTGGTGCCATACCTTACAGCCTTGGAATTAGAGAAACTGGAGACGAATCTGGTTTAGCGATGGATCACAATTTCTTCTTCACCGGAAGACAACGTGTTTATCATGGTCGAAATGAGAGTTTTGCCACACATTGTGTACGTGAATTCAACAAATTCGGTGGCGATGGTGCGGGCTGGCCATATCCTACACCACGAGGTCTGACTTGGTTGTGGTTCAGGGACATTTGACAGCAAATCACTACATGACTCAAATTCTTCAACCTCACCTTATTCGAATCATTGACCGCCAGAGGGAGCTGCTTCAACAGGACAATGCTCCACCGCACACATCTCGTCACGGTGGACTATCTTATAATGCCAACATCAACGTTTTGCCCTGGCCATCGAAATTTCCAGCTCTCAACCCAATCGAACACCTCTTGGATGAACTCGATCGACATGTACGTCAACGTCAGAACACGCCACAGACACTCCCACAACTGGCCAATGCGTTACAAGCAGAATGGCGCAGACTTTCGCAGGGCAGAAGTCATACACTTATCCAGACAGTGCCGAGGAGATGCAGAGCTGTGATTGCTGTTGGGGGCGGTCACACGAGATACTGAGTTCAGCGCAACCTTGTGGTCTGATGTGACATGGCAATGAACAGTTCTCAATGCCTTTGTACAACGACAACCTGTGACGATCGAGCTCCAAAATGTAATATTTGTATCTATGATATTAAATTAAAAATATCGAATTTATTAGGTTCAGTAATTTGATTAAAAATCTACCTGTGCGTTTCTTTTTTGTAAGAGTGTATGGTGCTGAAGTCAACTTCTACAAAAAAAATCAAGATTTAAAAAGTAGTACAAAAATGAATGGGGCGGACGATTCTGCAATCGGTAATTAGTTTGTAATTGCGTGTACAGATAGTGAGTCAATGCATTTAGTACGTCAATTAGTCACATATCACCAAATGGACATTAACACATCATAAGCTGGCAATGAAACAATGAGTTTCAGTTTCAGTTTAAATTTCCATGTTCAGGGTCAAGTGAAAGTCCAATCAACTACATATCAACACTAGATAACCCCAAATCGGTCTGCGGTTATAATAATAATAATAATAATAATAATAATAATAATAATAATAATGAGAAAAGACCTACCATAGATTCCAATGAAAGGTTTTGGAAACAGTTGTGGTCTGTGCCCGGCAACTGTAACCTCACGTAACCATGGTGACAAAATTAAGTCACCATTGTTGAGTTTCATTACACCTGATTGCCTGAAAAAGGTAATTATAAAGTCCAAATCAAATACGGCGCCAGGGCCTGATGGTATTCGAAACCAGTTTATAGAAATTGTTTCCCTGTGTCCAAAAAGCATTACTATACTGTTTAAATCATCTTGTGGATACAGGGGATGTTCATCCATGGTTCTGCAAAAGAAAGGTGATTTGACTGATCCTTAAAACTAGTTCAGAAATTGATCCTTGAAGAGACTAAAACTTACCACCGTAACCTCTTAATGTGTTGTATAGACTACAGAAAAGCTTATGATTCTTTGCCTCATGACTGGATTTAGAGGTCACTGGAATGTATTACCCTCCCAGAACGGCTACTTGTTTTTTCAAGTATTTAATGAATTCCTGGTCAACTGACCTTGAGGGTTCAGGGTGATTCTTTCAGTCCTTGGCTTTTCTGTTTGTTACTAAATCATTTAGGCTTGTTTTTTATTTTGATTACGATGAGCTGGATGTAGATGATTTGACCCGTAAATCATATTCATTTTAGGTTGAAACTTCCTGACCGGATTCTTTAAACCAATGTCAGAAATGTGCTAGTAAATTTTCCCCAAGCCAATATAATCATCTGAAAATTACCAAGAAACTTGAATGATGCTTTAATGAATCTGAATGTATCCGAAAACAATTGTTTTCTTTGTTCCCGGTAAATATAATTAAAGTTGGTATGTCAGATAGCTGCAGTAATTATCTGTGTCAAAGTAATCCTTAATATTCTCCGAAAGTTTAGTGAGTGATTGAGTACTGTTTCATGTTTGTTTGTTTGTTTGTTTGTTTGTTTAACGACGCACTCAGAAATATACCAGCTGTATGACGACGATCTGTAAATAATCGAGTCTGGACCAGACAATCCAGTGATTGACATCATGACCATCGATCCACGCAATTGGGATACGATGACATGCATCAACCAAGTCAGCGAGCCTGACCGCCCGATCTCGTTAGTCGCTTCTTACGACAAGTATAGTCTTTTACGACAAGCATGGTTTGCTGAATATCTGTTCTATCCCGGATCTTCACGGGCCTGTTTCAGGTAGCACATGGCACCGTACCTACCTGGTAAGCAAACGCTATAACCACGAGACTTTCCCACCATGCCTCAGGAAGATTAAGCTCCATGGTTCATGAGAAGACTCAAAAATACTTATGATGCCAAACATACATGTTGGAAATGAGATTCTGCCCAAGATCATCAGTGTCCACGCAGCCATGTATTGCCTCACTATATACCAAATGCATGAATTGTTTGCTTGTTTGTTGTTCAACGTCACACACAGCGAGAATCTAGTGATTGACATCATGAGCATAGACCTACAAAGCATAGCATGCATATTTTATTATATTTGCGTTTGTTTAATTGGTGTCAAATCTGGTTTCCAACATGCCATAGCCCGTTGACGATCTGGCAATTGCAGACGCTAGGTCATAAACAATCAATGAAATCAAGTTCAGACTGATTATGTAAACTAGATTCAATAAGACTGACAGAAATAATGGTGTAGAGAGAAGAATCGAGCTTCACTGAAAATGTCAAAATCAGGAATGGCGCTGCTGTGTGTGGCATGTTTAAGCTAACGGATGCAATTTGATTTTTAGTTTTATGGACATAAATGTTCTTGCCTAGGATGTTTGTCTAATGTTTGTCTTTGTCCTAATACTTAGTATTCCATGATCCTCATCCTTTTTTGAGAGTATGTGCTGATTTATCACAAAGATAGATGACTATTAATCTTTCTTTCATTTGTAAATGCCCCTCTGCACATAAGTGTCATCAATGTTTGGCATCATTCTATCCCGCCTGAAACTCCATCTACATCCATCGTGCTGTTTTACTAAATAATGTTTGGTTTGTTTTCAGATACAGTATGACATTCCTGACGATTTTGTGCACTGCCGCTATGGTAATGTCTTTTAAAGGTAAACACTTTTATTCACTGAAGTTCGATTGTATTGTACTTAAAAATAATTATTCACTAATTGCAGTACAGTATAAAACCAAGCGACAAAACCTTAACCTTAAACATCAATACCAGTTGGTCTCGAAATGTGTTCACCCAATAGAAATCCATTGGAAAAAGACAAAATAAGGCATTGGTCATCATTTGGTAATTTGTTTGACAGTTATTCAGAAACCTTTTCTGAGACATTTGATAACAAGTTCAGTTTTGTTCTCAACTTGTTATAACTTCATGGAGTGTTGTCATAAGCATCAAGGTTTTATTAGAACCGACTCTATTTCCAGCTGCCCCATGCAGTAATAACCAGCACTGTTCAGACTGTGACGATACAACGGATCACTGCCTCACAGACTGCGACATTGGGTATTATGACCTGAAATGTAGTACTCGTTGCAGCAGAAAATGTAAAAAAAAAAGATGCAAACTTTCAGTCAATGGGATTGGGGTTTGTACTGAGGGTTGTGCCATGGGATATTACGGCAAGACCTGCGACATACCATGTGACAGTCCAGGAGGTAACTGTACAGCATGTCCAGATGGGTGTGATGGAGGATATTGTCAGCTGGGCTCCTCCTGTGTGTCTGGGTGTGTAGACTCCTACTATGGGACTGACTGTAAGACGTGTTCAAGTAGATGTAAATCCTGCAACAGGATCACCGGAACGTGTGACGAATGCCAACTACAATATTTCGGAAAGGATTGTGAATATTCATGTAGGAACTGTATAAAACAATGTAGATATGGGTGCCGAGATGGCTGTTTACAAGGATATTATGGTATTGTCTGTACGGAGACTTGCAATGAAAACTGTCGAGGGGCAAACCCTAAGGTCAATCAGGCTATGGGAATACAGGCTTTAACAAGCGTCCGAAATGAATGTCATCAGCAGAACGGTGATTGTACTCATGGATGTAAAGACGGCTGGCATGGTCGGCAGTGCTCCTTTCCATGCAGTTCGAAATGTCAGAATAGGAGATGCAATGTTTCTGGAGACTGTGAAGATGGCTGTGCACCTGGATATTTCAGTACACATTGCGAACCATGTCCAGTCAACTGTGCAAACAATTCTTGTAACTCATACCAAGGACATTGTCAAAGTGGATGTATGGACGGATTTTATGGGGAAATGTGTGACAGAACTTGCGACGTATGTCTTGATGGTGCTTGTGATCAGATGACTGGAACATGCATTAGAGGCTGCAACGTCACGAAGAGAAGATGTACTACGCCAGTCAGCTGTACAAATAATTGTTCAATAAACTGGTGTATGGTGGACTCATGTGCAGGTAAAGTGACGCGCATTAAATACCCATAAAATAGCCAATTCCATTCCATTGATTTACCCACCTGAGCTAGAGATAAAGGAGACTGGTGAGACTGCCTCATCTGTTTTATATTAAGATCTATGCATAAAGATTCAGAGTGGCAAAACACTCTCCATTAGGATGTATGACAAGAGGGATGACTTCAACTTTCCTATAGTCAACATTCCCTTTATGTTGAGCTGCTCAAGCCTTTGGTGTTTGCATATCACATCTTTGAGGTACAATCGAGCCTGCTCTTTCCACCAAAGTTTTAAAGAGCGCCATAACACTCATGCTCAAAAGTTGTTTGATCAATATTTTAACATCTAAGGCCTCAGTAAAGCTTTCAAAAAGTGTTATGGTTGGCATGTGAAACCTTTCAAATTTGACGCATCTGTAGTTCTCTAGCTTTACTTGTGCGATTTGTTCCCGTGCTTTTTCAGGTCCTAATTGACTTGCCTCTGCATGTGTTTATGATGGGAGCCACATTTTTGCGAACATGGTATCATTACTAGTTGATTCATAAACACATGCTCATGATATTGACGGAATCATACAATCGTACTACTCTCTACTAATTCTCATGAATATAAAGAGGGTTCGGTCGCTTTTATTTATGAATGGAGGAAATTTCCAAATTTGATATAACAGCCACACAAATTATGTCTAATGCAGTTCCTTTCTTTCACTTGTACCTCACGTCATTTGACACGTAATTGTTTACCACTGGCCTTACATTTACATATTTGTTTATTCTTCAGATACATTGGAGATCAGAGATATGAAAATAGGACTGTCTGTAGCATTAACGACATTGCTCATTGGAATATTGTTGGCAGTGTTCCTGTTCCTGTTTTGCCGTAAACGCTTGAGCCCTAACAGGTAAGTAGATATGGTTTAAAATAGCTATTTTGTACATACAATAGTACATAAATTGATACAGATGTCATTTAAGGGATGCACTTATGGTGTATCCATCAGATTGGAACAAACACAAGAGTTTTGTTTTGTCATGAACCTAACTAAGATCGAAATCTTCAATGGTGGAGGAACGAGTATATTAATCTTGATTCCTGTCTTTATTTGTCTGCATTAGTGGACAATCAGTGGCACCGGTTATTATATTCCATACCAAAGCCTAAGATCTCACTCTCTCTCTCTATCTCTCTCTCTCTCTCTCTTGACTTGTCACTTAAATATCCAGGTCTATCCGTACACAGTCCTTTTCCAGGAAATTTCAGGTCTCCGAATATTCGCTGAATATAACTGGAACCTAAGCATATGGTCATCATTCTTTGTACAATATATATATTTCACCATTGCAGAGAGCCCCAAGGACATGCTACAGGACAGGTTGTTGCATACAGTACGGGGTACAGTACGTTACACAGGTACTGGGAGATAAGGGATGAAGACGTGAACATGCATTGTGAGCCCCCAGTCTTGAACGAAGAGGAACCAGAACAAGACGCGGATATGGACATGCCAGTCCAGGTAGAAGTACTTCACAATGACTTGGCACTCAGCACTCCATCTCGTTCTCCAACTCCGTCTCTTAGTTCTCATGAGGATCCCGAGTCATACTCTCATCTCGAAAGGGACGACAATGACCCAGTTGCCGCCGAGAGCTACATTACACCAGTCGAGGACATACCAGAAACTCGATTTAAGGATCTTGCCTGAATATGGACTGTGCAATTACCTTAGTCTGCCAAATGCTGCTTCTAATCAGTTATTATTTTAATTACTGGCTTAGAGTCTTTAGAAAAATTGCTTTTATATATGTATATATCAAGGGATTTACCATTTGTTATAGAAAATATCTGATCCGTGAAATACGAAGAAAACACTGTTCACATTTTGGATAACATATACTCTTCAAAAAAAAGAAACTTGACACTGACTTTCAAAATGTAACATAATGCGATTGTTTCAAAATAGGACACAGAAACCATAATTGAAACACTGTTTGAAGATCAATGTACACAATGTTCAAAACAATCGTGTCACCTAGACAGACAGACGTACACGATACAGTTAATGTCACATGGGTACAGAAAATGGCAATATCGGTTGTGCTCACCACGTGCATCAATCACCGCTTGACACCGACGGCCCATAGATGCAATCAAGTTGTCAATAACACGCTGTTGGATGTGCTGCCATTCATGCTGAAGTGCATCAAGAAGCGCCAGAAGTGCTTTGGGCGGTGGATTCCTTCTGCGAACGCGTCGATCCAACTCGTCCCACACATGCTCAATCGGGGACAAATCTGGTGACTGGGCTGGCCAAGGTAATGTCTGGATGTTGTTGTGCTGTAAGAAGTCCTGACAAACACGTGCAATATGCGGTCGTGCGTTGTCCTGCTGGAACTGTCCGTCATGAACGTTGACGTGAGGAAGAACGTAAGGCTGTAGGATCAAGTTTTTGTAACGCACACCTGTCAATGCACCTGCCACATGCACGAGAGGCGTCCTACCACCGTGATGAATTCCGGCCCATACCATGACACTCCAGCCGCCAAAAGGGACAACCTGCTGCACACAGTTGGGGGCGTAACGTTCACCCTGACGTCTGTAGACACATGCGCGCCCATCAGCACGTGTGAGTAGGAAACGGGACTCGTCAGTAAACAGTACATTTCTCCACCTTGCACGAGCCCATCTAACCCTTTGCTGGCACCAAAGCAGACAGTCCACCAGATGACGTGGGGTCAATACATGACGTCGAACAGGTCTTCGTGCAAAAAGTCCAGGCTCCCTCAATCTCTTGCGTACCGTTTGATCTGACATTCTGCGTACCCCAGGGATCTGTGGGGTTGTAGACGTGGCTGTGGTAGTGCGGTCTCGGAGGTGTCGCAGCCGGATGTAACGATCTTGTGCTTGGGTTGTCACCCTTGGTCTTCCTGACCTTGGTCTGTCGTCATTTCTGTTGGCGATGTTGTATCGGGTCCACAGTACGGAGATTGTCTGTCTGGATGCGCCAAAGTGCCTGGCTACTTCTTGCTGAGTTGCTCCAACTTGTAATCGCCCAAAGGCGTTGTTCCGTTGAGCTGCATTCAGTCTTGGAATTCTGTCGACGCCTCTACTGCCGTTATAAGGACTGTATGAACAGCCGTTGATGTGGATTTTTATACCCATTCAACAGGGGGGTGGGTGGGAGGGGGGGCCTGCATGCCTAAATGCAGAATCCTGTGCTGCACGTTTTTTACAGGCGGTTGCGTTTGGATGAAGCTGTAAAATTGATCCCTAAACGCTACGTTTATGTGCTTTGCATGTTTTCACGAATTATAGACACATCATCTTTCTGTTTGACTTATTTGGTTCTCATTAATGTAATTATATTAGATATTTGGCGAAAAGTGGTATTACATCTATGTCAAGTTTATTTCTTTTTTAAGAGTATATATAACTTTCAGGATACATTATTGCATTATTTTGCGTGCTAGTCACTGTGAGTGCTTCAAATGTATGGATCATTATCTTTTTCAAAACCATGTATAAACTTGTATCATTATTGTGGCTGTAATTGATGCTTTTTAATCTTTGTCAGTACATTTTTGCGAACTTTTTGTAATAAAGTATGTTGTATAGTTCATTGAACTTTCAAATGGTCTTTGTAAAGCATTTCAATCTAACCTTGTCTTTAATGTGAGATGCAGCTACATCATGCTCTGTTCTTCCATCGTAGTCTACATGTGTAATTGCTCACCTGCTCCATTACTGCACAATTTGTTATATGACATGCACATGGGTGGGTGTGAGAGGTCGCTCTTTTCATCGGCCCTTCAACCAAGACATCGTCATGCAGTCAGAAATGTCGGAATAGGAGATGTAATGTCTCTGGTGATCGTGTAGATGGCATCTGGATATTTTGGTCGAGATTGCAAAACATGTCATGTAAACTCCGCAAACAACTTGTGTAACTAAAAAAAAGGATATTGTTCCAGGGACGGATTTTATGGGGAATTGTGTGACAAAACGTGTGACGTATGTCTTGATGGTGTTTGTGATCAGATGACTGGAACATGCATTAGAGGCTGCAACGTCACGAAGACAACATGTACTACACCAGTTAGCTGTACAAAGAATTGTTCAATAAACTGGTGTGTGATGGACTCGTGTAAAGGTAAAGTGAACTTCATTAAACACGTTTATTATTCAGATACAGTGGAGATCAGATACTTGAAAATATGGCTGTCCACCATGGTTGGTTTGCCTACAGTCAAATTTCATGTCAGGTGCTTTCCAAGATGCCAGTTAGGCATCACTCAGATTAAGTCCAGTGCATATCATCCTGAATCTCAAGGACTTTTCGAGAGACTTCATCAGAATCTTGAGCATAAGGACTTACTGTTTTGAGGTTGCTAAGGATTTGGGGTGAAGGCATTCCTTCGTCATTGTTGTTGTTGCTGTTTTTAGCTTGTTTGTTTGTTGTTTAACGCCGCACTAAGCAATATTCAAGCTATATGACGGCGGTCTGTAAATAATCAAGTCTGGACCAGACAATCCACGCAATTGAGATACGATGACATGCATCAACAGAGCCAGCGAGCCTGACCACCCGATCCCGTCAGTTGCCTCTTACGGCAAGCACAGTCGCCTTTTATGACAAACATGGATTGCTGAAGACCTCTTCTACCCCGGATCGTCACTGGTCCGTTGCTACTGTGAGGGAGTCAGTTCAGGAGTCCCTAGATTTTAGTCTTTTGGGCCTCGTCTTTGGCTATACTGTTCATGGACCGTTAAGGCCCTAAAAGGAGCACTAGCTCAATGATAGGTCTGAAATGAGTTTGTTGGAGTAGGTCTCATCATTCTGTGAAGTTGATGGGGATAAACTGTAGGAAGATTTGTTTTTGCCACGGTCCAATGTTATTGACACAAAATTCAGGGTACAAACACCAGACACATGCATTGTATACCACGAGCCTCCTCACGAGCCTCCTCACCGCAACCCCAAGTTAATACTGGACCCCAACCCACCCTCAACCCACTCAAGCAATCATCTCACTCACTCAACCTCGCAACCCCTCCCCCTTACATCTACACGGGTACCCCAGTCTTTCCATCCAAGTGTATTCCTTTTGAATACAGCATGTGCGTAGAATACTTACTCTTAGGGCCACGGCAAGGTTTAGGCAGGAAACAATACCCGTTACTGTCAGACATACTTGTACCAATATTGCAAGCAATTGATAGAAATAAAATATATCGATGAATATATTTGTTTGGTTTAGAGCTGTTGTTGTTTCTTATTTCATTGATCAGTTGCTCACTACCTCAGTCTGCCCTGGACGATTGTACTCATTCCTGAGGAATGTGGTTACACTACGACCTCGACGATGCAAGTATTTAACGTGTCTTAAAGGCTACATGACAGGCAAAATCAAGTGACATAACTTGACGCCCGTGACAGACTGTGCTCTTGAATATTACTTCCCCCTTATAACGAACACTGTAATCAGAGTATGCGTTATACGCAAGCGCGGTGCACAATGCAGTGTGCTGACTGTATTTATAGAGGAGGAAATAGAGCAGACAGTCCTCGTTTTATCTCGGCTTTATTTTGACGGTGTTAGAGTACACGACACGGCGCATTATTTACAGCTTAGTTGTGTGCTGTTTGTTATCTTTACTGTGTAAGTGCTTCTTCCCCATGGTTGTTAAAACCTCTGTTGCTTGGCATCTTTCCAAATGTAAAAAGGTTAACTGTAAACATTTAGCTGTTGCTGTTATCAATGTCCGTTATCTTGTAATCCAATCGGCGAAGTGAATGTTGATTTACACCGCAGTCATTTGCTCCAGACAAAGTAGTGGTTGATAGCATGAACAACTTTAAACACTGTCGGGGTGCAATGACGTGCAGCCCTACAGGTAACCCATTGTTAATTCACCAACCGCAGTGTAGTCGGCTCTTATACAACAGGGGCCACCTGTAAAACTTAAGTAATGTTGTTCAGTTACTTTATGTAGCGGTCATGTAAAAGCTGTGTTTGAATTGACTCGATCCCACGTGAAATGTAAATGCGTGACGAATTTCTCACTCGTTGAAATGTATGCATGCATGATTCTGACAATCCAAAATTGTAGTTAAACGTAATTTTTCATGGAGCATAAGATGTGTTCCCGTACACGAATATGTATAACTATATGTCAATATTGTTCAGCTATATAATGCAAATGCACCGCCCGAATGCGTCACTCCGAATGCACCATTCACTCTCAAGGTGGACTTGAAAGGAAAAACACAAACATATTTCAGTACACGGATCGATAACGTTCCCTAACGTGCAGTATGATATGTGCTCTATAGTTAGGCTGAGCGTCGTGTTTCTGTCTGTACTTCATATCATAGGTTCTGGACTATGTCAGCGGGAAAAGTACGGGGACGTGCTTGTTGTCCCTGTTTATTATGTTCATGACAGTCTGTCTTTGGTCTTTATTATTAATCAGTTAAAAAAATAAAAAAATAAATAAACATCCACTTTATTCCGGTTTAAGCACCTGTCCCAAACTCTGTATTAGAAACTGATTTATGTTGAATGAACGTTTGACTGGTAAATTTGTTTCTTTGTTTGTTATTTCATCACATCAGATGTCTTTAATACACCTCGTCATAACGATTTGGTTAGTTTGAAGTTTTAGCAATATTCAGCAATATTCCACACTCAGCAATATTCCAGCTATATGACGGCGGTTCTCGTCATAAATAGTAACATGAGGTGAAATGGAATTTAACGTCGCGTCCAAGATATAGCGACGTGCATGAACGTGCGTCTGTGTGTTTTGTACCAATACCGAATAATGTTGATTTTATAGTGCTAGTCAACTGGGATCCCATATCACAGTTTAACATGAATACTCCACTCAGACACAGTACACTGGCTCTGAGCAAACGAATCCTTGTTTTAGCCCCTTTCCCCAAGCGCCAGGCAA